TATACAAATTACCCCACAATTTAATGGATTGACACTTACTTTCTCACATCTTCGATGGGTCAGGAATCCAAGCAGTTTAGCTGGTGTCAGCAGGGGTGGCTGTGGTCTAATCTGGAGGCTTGACTGGGGCAGGATCTATTTCCAAGCTCTCTCATGGGGCTGCTGGCAGGATTCAGTTGCTAACAGGATGTTTGTCTAAGCACCATGGTTCTTTGCTGACTACTGGCTGGGGGCCTCTCCATAAGGCAGCTCACAACATAGCAGCTGGCTTTCATCAATGAACAAGTGAGCAAGCCTGAGAAGCCAGTCTCTTTGTAACCTCATCTCAGAAGTGATATTCCACCACTTTTGCCACATTCTATTTGTTAGAACCTAGGTCTAGCCTATACTCAAGAGGAAGGGATTACACAGGGGTGTGAATACACAAGGATGAGGGGATCATTAGGGGCCATCTTAGAGGCTGCTTACCACACTTGCAATATTAACTTTGATCACTTGGTTAAGGCAGTTCTGAACTTACTATTATAATGAATAAATACTTTTGAGGAGATACTTTGGGACTGTGCCCTTTCAACGTGCTTCCATCCTTTTTATTTGGGCATGTCCTACTTTCTGACACCACAAGATGCTCCATGCTCAGCTTGTATTTTCCCTGCCCTAACTGGAGAATGTTATTTAGAAACTAAGATATGGGTGCTGGGCATGCTCACTGCTACTGGGGTGTCACTACTATCGGTCCCTCTACGAGGAAAAAGCAAGGTAATATATGTATACACACATATTGGCATGTCTATATACATAGTAAATAAAAACCATGAGATTTTTCCAAAATTGTGGTGGAGTGAATGGAAGCTACATAGACCATCTCCCAGGACCAAACTGGAATTACAACTAAAATAAAGACATATTGTTGGGAAAAACCAAAAGAAAAGCAGCTGGAGAGGACCCATATAACCATGGTCAGAAAGAGGACACAAAATTGAGCCTGATAGGGACTGTGTAGGTGTGAGAGGGAGGGCTGGGAGCCCACGGACAGCAGCTGTTTTGGCTGTGAGCAGCTTGCTTGCAGTTAAAATCCCAAACTGGCTCCACAGTGCAGGGGGATGGGATAGAACACTAAACTAGCTACAGCCACTCACCTTGGGCTCTGGCAGAGGGAGGGCAGACTGGTCTGGAACTGTGTGGAGAGACTCAGAAGCTTGGAGAGCTGGGGCAGCAGTGGGAGTTTTTTTTTCCTGAATGACTCCCTCAAGGGACAGTAGCCATCTTGCTCCAAGAGCCCCTTCCCAGAGCCCCAGGGAGAAGCAACAGTCTTTCTCTCAGGATTTAAACACCACCCAGCCAGGCCAAAGAAATGCAAACTGAGGCTCAGTAATAGCCAGCAAGCACCTGCCCCACCCTCTGGAAATCCTCTTAACCTGAACACCTGAGGGATTTTTTCAGCCAGCTGAGGGCTACAATCGAAGGTTCATCAAATAACGGAGACTAATAGCCTCCAGGCAAAAAGCTAGAGAATAACTGAACCTTTCCTGGGCTTGCAAATCTACCCAGGAAAGTAAAACTTGACAGTGGTGTTTAACATGGGTCCTGCCACACTCATCCAAACCCAGTAGAGGGAGCCACAACCAGTGGAACACCAACACCTACTGGGAAAATTCAGCAGGCTTCAAAACCCAGAGACAGCGATAATGGTGAAACAAACAAATCCCAAATGTAAGAACAAGATAACTAAACAGAAGATGAAATAAATGAAGGGGAATTGAACAAGATATCAGAGGGCGAGTTCAGAGTAATAATCATGAGGAAGCTCAACAGCATGAGTAAAGATATAGAAGCACTGAAAACCAACCAATTAGAAATGAAGAATGACATAGCCAAAATAAAGAACACATTAAAAGAAATAACCAGCAAAGTAGAGGAGGCAGAGGATTGGATCAATGAATTAGAAGACAGGGTAGAAAAAAATTACCCAATCAGAGTTAAAAACAAAACAAAACAAAAAACAATTAAAAAAACAAGAAGACAGCCTAAGACAACTCTGGGACAATATGAAAAATAACAACATCTGCATCATAGGAGTTCCAGAAGAAGAAGAGAATGAGCAAGAGAAAATATTTGAAGAAATAATGACAGAAAACTTCCCTAACTTGGTGAAGGAAAAAGGCATACAAGTATAAGTAGCACACAGAACACCAACTAAGAAGAGCCCAAAAAGGCACACATCAAGACACATAATAATTAAAATGCCAAAAATTAAAGACAAAGAGAGAATCCTAAAGGCAGCAAGAGATAAGCAACAGGTTACCTACAAAGGAACCCCCATATGGCTATCAGCTGACTTCTCAACAGAAACACTACAGGCCAGAAGAAATTGGCATGAAGTAATCAAGGTAATGAAAAACAAGGATCTGAATCCAAGAATACTCTATCCAGCATAGCTATCATTCAAAATAGAAGGTGAAATAAAAAGCTTCCCAGACAAAAAAAAGGCTGAGGGAATATATTAGCACCAATCCAGCATGGCAAGAAATATTAAAAGGGCTGCTGTAATTAGTAGAAGTAGAAAGGAAAATATAACCACAATAAACAAAAATGACAATAAATAAGTAATCAATAATAACCTTAAATGTAAATGGATTAAATGCGCCAATCAAAAGACAGAGTAAGCTGATTGGATAAGAAAGCATGACTCATATATATGTTGTTTACAAGAGACCCATTTCACAACAAAAGACTCACATAGGTTGAAAGTGAAGGAATGGAAAAAAATCTTCCAAGCAAACGAAAAGCAAAAAAAAAAAAAAGCTGGGGTAGCAATACTCATATCTAATAAAATAGACTTCAAAATGAAGGCCATAACTGCAGACAAAGAAGGCTACAGCATAACATTGAAAGGATCTACCCAACAGGAAGATATAACCTTGGTAAATATATATGCACTCAACATAGGAGCACCAAAATATATTAAAAAACTTCTAGAGGACTTCAAAGGAGAAACTGACAGCAATACAATCATAACAGGGGACTTCTCAACACCCCACTGGCATCACTGGATAGATCTTCTAGAAAAAAGATTAACAAGAATACAAAGACTAGCTCTATATAGATCAAATGGATTTAATGGATATCTACAGAGAATTATACCCCAAATCTGTAGAATTCACATTCTTCTCAAGTCCACATGGGAGAGTCTCAAAGATAGACCACATGTTAGGACACAAACTAAGACTTTACAAGTTCAAGAAGATTGAAGTCATATCAAGCATCTTCTCAGATCACAACAGCTTGAAACTAGAAATCAATTACAACAAAAACACTTAAAAACATTTAAACATATGGAGGCTAAATAGCATGTTATTAAACAATGAAGGGGTTACCAAGGAGATCAAGGAAGAAATTAAGACCTTCCTGGAAACTAATGAAAACGAACTCACAACAACACAAAATCTATGGGATGCAGCAAAAGCAGTCCTGAGAGGGAAATTCATGGCACTACAGGCCTACCTCAGGAAATAAGAAAAATTCCTAATTGGCTAACCTCACAATTTAAAGAACTAGAAAGCAAACAAAAAGAAAAACCCAGAGTAAGCAGAAAGAAAGAAAGAAAGAAAAAAAGAAAGAAAGAAAGAAAGAAAGAAAGAAAGATCAGAGCAGAAATAAACAGCATAGAGACTAAAAAAACAATTCAAAAGATCAATGAAACAAAGAGCTGGTTCTTTGAAAAGATAAACAAGATTGATGGACCCTTAGTTACACTCACCAAGAAACAAAGAGAGAAGACCAAAATAAACAAAATCAGAAAGGAAAGAGAAGTAACAACTGACACCACAGAAATACAAAGGATCCTTAACAAATACTATGTACAATTATACACCAACAAATTGGACAATGTAGGTGAAATGAACAAACTTCTAGAAACACATAGTCTCCCATGTCTGAACCAGGAAGAGATAGAAAACTTGAACAGACCAGTAACAACTTGAAGATGTAATCAAGAATCTCCCAACAAACAAAAGCCTAGACCCAGATGGCTTCACGGGGGAGTTTTCCCAAACATTCAAAGAAGAACTAACATCCATTCTCCTCAAACTATTCCAAAAAATTCAAAAAGAAGGAAGACTTCCAAACTCATTTTATGAGGCCAGCATAATTCTAATTCCAAAACCAGATAAAGACACTACAAAGAAAGAAAACTATAGGCCAGTATCCCTGATGAACATAGATACTCTGGGAAAGGACAGGGCCAAGGTCCACCCAGGATCTGTGGCATGGGGAACAGAGATGGGGTGTTTGGTGTCCTGTCCACTCACATCTGGGAAAGGAAGACTCACATCTGGGAAAGGAAGGCTGGAGACAGCTGGTAACACTATGCAGCAGACATCCTGCTGTTTTAACTGCATTATCTCATTGAGATGTGGATTTCACCATGGTATCCCATTTTAGAGAAAACTGAGGATCAAGGAAGCTGACTTCCCCAAATCCCACTACTAATGATCAATCAAAATTCAGCCTATGCCACACTGTCTCTGTCCACTAGGGTTTCATAAGTGCCAGGAACTGTAGATGCTTAACCATGGTTTATCTCATCTACACTTCACACGACAATGAACTATTGGTTCAAGTTTGGAAAAGAAAATTAAGGCTTAGGCAGGTTGAGTAACTTGCCCAGAGTCACTGCTGGTATCAGAGCTGGATTTGACCCATACTCTGTCTAAATCCAGAAACTGTATTCCTAACTTCTATGTCTACTCTCTCTACCCAGAGGCTCGTTGGTCTATTAGGATGACAATAATCTCAGGATCCCTTGCCCTTCAGAAACCCATGGCAAGCCCCAGAGTTCTGGGCTTTGACACAGGCTCCCAGTCTACTGGTTTACTCTTCCATCACTGATCCAGTCAATCTCGAGCTCTTATTAGGGAGCTGGGCAATGAAAGTATAGTGACAACTAGACACCAACCTCCCCACATTAGACAGCTCTCATTCAAAGATGACAACAAGGAAACTGCTTCTAAGTTTTTATTAACATGACTTTTTAAAAACAAACATCCATACCAGGGGGTGGGGGGTGCAGAAGAGGGGAGAGGAGGGAATTTTGCTTTATTGGTAATAAAGCTCCAGGTTCATTCCATCGTGGATTTCGTCTGAAGTAAAGGTGTTAAAGAATCCTTACTGTGGGTTAGGTCCCCACCCTTTCATTTCTCACAGTTGGACAGGGTGGCCTGATCATTCAGCCCAGAGCCAAGGAAGGCATTTTGGACTGGGTCATTTTGATCTGGAAAGAATCCAAACTATGAAAAATGTTCATGATCCTTTTGCACAGCAGACATGACCCAGTCTCACTCCACCCTGACCTCCTTAAAGTGTCTTCTAAGCCTGAATATATTTTACCAACCACCCTCCTCCCCCAACAAAATAATGACTCCCATTTTCTAAATTCTTACTATGTGCTACATACTAAGTTAAACACCTTATGTGTATAATCCCAGACAGACTCGGTTTTCAACAAAGAGAATCAGGACACAGTGTGTAGACCCTTCCTCAAGAAATCACACAAAGGATACAGTCTCCCAGAGAAACGTGGTCCTTAAAAATCGTGTACCTACGGGATAGAAATCTTTCAGACAGAAACCTAAGGTGGCTCTTCACCCTGGAGGCAAGCTGAGGAAGGCCTGCCTAAGCAAAGGCGGTCTGTAGCACTCCCCCAACCCAAACCTTCTGCTTTAGTCCTGGGCAGCACCCAGCTCTGTCACCGCACTCACCACTTCTTCAATACGATCTTGTTCCAACGGGTACCCGTTTGGGCTGCGATCAGCTTCTTAAGGTCCCCGATGGTGTCATCGGTGCTGGGCGCAGAGGAGTTAAGGAAAATGGCACGGGGTGGTAGAACGCAGAAGAAGACATTGCAGGGCCGCACGCACTCTGCCAGGACCCCATCCGCCCCCTCTACAACACTGACTGGGTTGTCTCATGCCAAGCACCCCCACGGACCACTACGTCTCCGCCACGGGTGGATACTTGCACTTCACGCGGACCTTCTTCCCCAGACGGTCGTTGCAAACAACCTCGATCATCCTGTCTGGAGCAACACAGGGCAGGGGTTGGGAGGTAGCAGAGTCAGGACGTCAAGGGTCTCCCAGACCCCAAGACCTCCGGTTGAGACCTACGTTCACTTCCCAACCCCCCGGACCCGAGTCCTCCGGGGCCCCAAGTTCCGTGTCTCGGGACCGCAGACCCCAGGCAGCCACACCTCCCCCCTTCGGGTCCCCTCTCGCAGGCCCTTGGACCGTCGAAGGCCCAGTCCCTTCAGCTTTCTTCGACTCCACTTGACCCCCTCACCTGGAGTCGCCTGGAACCTGCCGACGCCACAAACTCGTCGCTCGAGAGCAGAGGCAGGGCCGGAGTCGACGCTGAGAAGCGGAAGCGGAAGTGCACAGCCTAAAGCGCCCGCCCCTTCCTCGGTGCCAGTTAACGCTCGGAGCGTCCTTTGCTGTCCAATCCCCGGCGTGGGCTTGCAGTCCTCAGGAGGCTTGGGGCCTCCAGACTCGGCGGTGGGACCCTTGCGGTTGGTGCGTGGGGCCGGGGAAGGGGCGTGGAGGGGAGTGAGAGTCAGGGGCGGGGCCCAGCTCGCAGGCTGTGGCGCCGTTCTCTGTGGGGAGCCACCGGCAGTTGGTGACATCGGGGACGGGTAGGTGACCTGCCGTCCCTGAGCCCGACGAAACCTCTTACTGCAACTACGGGGATTTGGGGAGCCGAGTCGAGTCCTGAAGTCGTCCCGTCCGGCCCTGCCTTCATTCAGGGCTGGGCCTCCCCTCAGGCTGCCGCTCCTGCTGCCTCGCGACACCTGGGGTGCAGACTACAGTCAGTAAGCGAAGGGGCCTCCTGGTCCTGGCCTGGGTACCAGCACTTAGGACAACATCAGCAAGGAAGCTGGACACGGCGCACTTGCAGAATCTTCCAGATCGTTATCTTAAAGAAAGGTCGGTCCCGCCCTGAGGGGGGCACCTTGTAGGAGATCTCAAACTTACCTTGTAGCCTCTACTGCAGGTCTGGGTCCCCAGGGCTCGTGAGACAGGCGGCACCCCTCCCCAAGTTCTGTGGATGAAAAGGGGATTCTAAGGAAAGGAACCCATCGGGTGATCTGATCATAAATTCCCAGCTGGGAGGACATGGTGGGTAGTCTCGTCTCAAGCATATACTCTTTTAGTGTTATCTTTGTTTTAAGCAAGCCCTGCTCATTGCTTCTGTACTTCTAGGTTATCACATCTTAGTAATAAGCTTCACCACCATTAAGAGAGCACATGATCTTGTTTATTATGTAATCCAGTCCCCACCTGGCTTTCTCTCATCTCCATGTAGGTCCCCCCCCCCTTTTAAAAATATGTTTTTATTGATTTTTTAGAGAGAGAGAAGGGAGAGAGAGGATAGAAACATTATGTGAGAAATAACGATCAGCTGCCTCCTGCACGCCCCCTTCTGGGGATCGAGCCTACAGCCCGGGCATGTGCCCTGACCCGGAATAGAACAGGACCTTTCAGTCCATAGGACCAGGCTCAATCCACTGAGCCACACCGGCCAGGCTCTGTCCTTAATTTCAATGGCATAAAAGCTGCAAAACTATTATTCTCTGGAGCACTTGAGATCTTGCTTCCCAGCGCATGTCATCAGATTATCTATAATGAACATGTTAGTTTTATAATGGGGGGGGGGGGATTTTTAAATTTTTTTAATTCTAATTTCTCAGTGTTTGGTCAGAGATAGCTCAAACACAGGATCATGATGCTGAATTATGGGCTAGGGGAGATTGGAAAGGGGTGGGGAGTGCCTTTGAAAGGGGAGGAAAATAAAGTCTGGGATTGATGGGAGCTTGGGTTCCTTGGGGAGTAGTGAGGATCTTGGGGTTGAGGGGCGTGGCTGCCAGCTCCTGCTGGGCTAATGGGAAGTCCCAGAACTAGACTGCCAATGCTACAGACACTCCCCAGAACCCGATGTGAGAAGGGGAGGGTCCTTAGGATTCAGAATACCACACCTTTGTGACCAATCCCCACACCCTGGGGCTCAGTGACTGCCATTGAAGAGCCAGGCAGTCCCATTCCCCTTTCTGGGGGGCAGTAGGATCTCCAGTCAGATTTGCTCCTAGGGGCGGTAGATACTTCCCAAGAAGGAGAGTTCCGGGTCATGACCCAAGGAGCAAGCTGGGCAGACCCCCTCTGCTCACTAGTTTCCCCAATTTCTGATCCACAGGAAGGAACTTGAATGTGGGGATCCCTTCCCTTCAACCTGGAGCTGGGGCAGAAGATGGTTCATAGGAACATCCTGTAACTCTGCCAAGGGCAGGGACACATGGGTTCTTCTGAACTTAAAGGCAACCCTCCCACCCAGGGTTCACCATGGGAAATAATCTTAGGGGTGGAGGGAGTTGCTCAGGAGGTGCCTTTCCCCAACATCTCTGTGTCAGCAGGCCTTAGATATACAGCAGTGACCACCTTAGAGTTCAGTCTGATAAGAGGAGGAAGACAAGTAAAGAAGACAAATGAATAGGTCCTTGCAACACATTGTGACAGTGCAGTGAGGGGGAAGCCCTGGGTTTTCCAGAGGAAATCACAACCATAGAACATTCTGGCATCAGAAAGATCTGGGCCGTGGTCCTGGCAATTTACTTTACCTCTGTGTAATTCTTTCAATCTTTTCTTCCAGTCACAAGATGCCTGCCAGAGCAGGAAGCATTTTTTCCTGTGCTCTTGTTTGAGGGAAAATATCAAAGGTTTGATTTATTAATAAACATTTGGAACTTGTTTTGTTGTTGTTGTTAATCCTTACCCAAGGAGATCAAACTGTCTACACTTCTCTACACCTTTTTTAAAACGCTGATTTTAGATAGAGAAATATCCATGTGAGGGAAACATCAATGGTTGCCTCCCGAACCCGCCACTTTTTTGTGTAGGGGATAACACTCCAACTAACTGAGCCACATGGGCCAGGGCTACACTTTAAAAATTATTTATTTATTTATTTGTTTGTTTTTGGTTAATCCTCACCTGAGGATATTTTTCCATTGATTTTCAGATAGAATGGAAGGGAGGGAGGAGAAACATGGATGTGAGACACCTCCATTTGTTGCCCCCCAGCCCCCCGGCTCAACCCCTCTGCTAGGGCTGGGTATAGAACCTGCAACCCAGGTATGTGCCCTTGCCTGGGGAATCAAACGCTAGACCCTTTGGTCCCAGGGCCAATTCTCTAGCCACTGAGTAAACTGGTCAGGGTTGCGCTGTGTTTCTTTTTTCTGTATTGATTTTAGAGAGAGAGGAAGGAAGAAGGAGAGAGATCAAAACATCGATGAGAGTGAACATTGATTGGCAGCCTCCTGCATGACCCCTGGGATTTGATCCACAACCTGGGCATGTACCATGATGGGGAATTGAACCAGCGACCTCTTGGTGCATGGGTCGATGCTCAACCACTGAGCCACACCGGCCAGGCTACATTTTATTTTTTTAAAGCAAACAATATTGTTCCAAGCAGCACAAAAAGGCCCACCTCATTTTTTTTTGACAATTTGAGATCTTAGAAGTGGTATTATTGGGTCCAACAGAGGCTGCAATCTGATGTTGACAAACTGCCTTCAAAGAGCTTGCATCAATTATGTTCCACCTGCAGTGGTTGACAGGGTCTGTTTCCTCACACCAAGGCCAGTATGGGCATTTTCTAGCTTCATCTCTTAATCTAATATGTGAAAATCATAGAGTTTTACTTTGTATTTATGGATAAGTGTGAGCACACATGTACTTTTTAGCTTTATTGAGATATAATTGATCACAAAAACAGCACACATTTAATGTATACATCTTAATGAGTTTTGCATTTCTTTTATTTTTTATTTTTATTTATTTTTATCCTCACCTGAGGACATTTTTCCATTTTCTACTCAGATAGAGTGGGAAGGAGAGAGAGGAAGAGAGAGAAAGATCGATGTGAAAGGGACACATCGAGCGGCCGCCACCCGCACAACCCAACCAGGGCTGGGGACAAACTGCAGCCAAGGTACATGCCCTTAGCGGGAACCGAACCCGGATCTCTGTGGACCGCAGGCTGACGCTCTAACCGCTGAGCCAAACCGGCCAGGGCTGCATTTCTTTTAAAAATAAGTTTTCCACCTCTCCAATTCCTGCTTTTGTGCGTACATATGAAAAACAAAAACATGTTTATTGTCATTGTAGGCTTTTGGGGTGTGATTTAGCAAAGCCTATTCAAAATCAAACTTTGTGTCCCTGGAGCCATCAAAGTGACTCCTGGCTATTTATCCTATACAAATAAAAACATAGGAGGTGCATATATGCATATCTAGATCTAGATCTACATATACTGTGGCTCAAGCTTCTTTCAGCTGGTTTAATAATGGACATGAGACATTAACATCACAAAATAATCAAATTTTTAAAAAATATAGTTTTATTGATTTTTTTTTAAGAGAGGAAGTGAGAGGAAGAGATAGAAACATCTATATTTGGCTGCATCCTGCATGCCCGCTAGTGGAGGTCAAGCCCAAAACCCAGGAATGTTTCCTGTTGGGAAACCAAACTGTGACTGACCTTTTGGTGCATGGGAGGATGCTCAATCCATTGAGCCATACCAGCAGGTCAAAAAATAACCAAATTTAACACACACACACACACACACACGTATGGGAACCCTGCATACACAAGAGACCCCCCCCCCCCATGCATGAGAGATTCAGAAACAGGAAAAAATGAGTACATAAGGTATTCTGAGCTAGGGATTAGGTAAGGTGCCTTAGAAGCTTCAAGATTCATTACAGGATAACAGGAAGAGCAGACGTTTAATAAATAGAAGTTTGCCCTGTGCAACAAGCAGGTGAAATTTCCTCCAATAATTTCTTATAACGTGTAAGGCCCCTAATTCAAGTTCTAGGTAGTCAAGGGAGGAACAGAAGTTTCTCTTGCACTAAAGGCTAAAGTTACCTTTAGCTCAAAACAATGTGTATACCACAGAGGCACATTTTGGGGTGACTTGTTCTGAACCCCACAATACATATACGTACATACATACAAATGTATGTATGAACATATGTACATATATAAAAAATGATTAACTTAAATGTTTGTGGAAGCAACCTGAACAGTCATCAATGTGAGAATGTTTCAATAAATTTCACTTTCCTTATGAATTGCTATTTTAAAAAATGAGTAATATTTGATGGGATTGTCAATTCAGCCTGTGGGAACAACTGGTCACCATCAATCAAAACAAAAAATTCAACATACCCTTAACAAGTTACTTCACTTCTACAAATTTATCCTGGTACATCTGTATCAAAAAGCATTATTGCCCTGGCTGGTTTGGCTCAGCGTTGGAGCGTCAGCCTGCGGACTAGAGAGTCCCAGGTTCGGTTCCGCTAGGGGGCGCACCTCGGTTGCAGTTTGTTCCCAACTTTGGGGTCGTGTGGGTGGCAACTACTCCAAGTGTCTTGCAGCGATGTTTCTCTCTCCCTTTCCCCCTTTCTTCCTCCTGCTCTATCTGAAGATGAATGCAAGAATGTCCTGGGTGAGGATAAAAAGAAAGCATTGTTAACCATTAAAAGTAGAAGGTTGGCTCCCCGCAGCATCCTCCGCACGACCCACGCCCAACCCCGCTCCAGGGTTCGCCCCGACTCAGGCCTCTTCCCAGCGCGGTCGTGGTCCCTAGCACCTACTTCCCAAGACCCGTCCCAGATCTGCTCCCTGGCCTCGTCACTGCCCAGCCACGCTTTTCGAGTCTGGTCCCCGTCCGGCCCCTAATCCAGACTTCGGTTCGTATTACCGCCCCCAGCCCAGCTCCCAGGCTTCTCATCACCGGCCTAGCTACGCCTTCGGTCTCAATCTCTGTCCCGGTCCCCAGCCCCGCCCCCGAGTGTCCTCACCTTCCTGGAGCCCGCCCCGAGCCGCTGCCCCGCCCGAGCCACGCCCCCCGCGTCGTCCCCGCCCCAGCCACGCCCCCTGTGTCGTCCCCGCCCCGGCCACGCCCCCTGCGTCGTCCCCGCCCCAGCCACGCCTTCCCCGCTTAACTTCTGGTTTGAAGCCTTGTTCTGCGGATCCCGTCCAGACCTCCGGCTGGAGCCAAGCACCTTCCCCCAGAAGGAAAGCTGAGCCTCTGCACCGGCTGCCGGAGGCCGGGGCCACTCCCTGCTGGCATCCCCACGACCCCCGCCTCCGGAGGCGCTCCCAGGGCCCGGAGTTCCTTCAGCCAGAAGTGGAAATGTGTGTCGGCGGGATCATGGCGACTCTTGCGGACCTGCCGGACTCGGTCATATTGGAGATCTTCTCTTACCTCTCGGTCCGGGACCGGATTCGCCTCTCCAGGTGCGTCCTCGCCCCTCGGTTGGGGAGGGGGTTGCGAGGAGCGAAGGGCCGGCCGGGGTCGGGTTGTTTTAACGGCCACCTCTTCCTCAGGGTCTGTCGCCGTTGGAGGAGGCTGGTGGACGACCGGTGGCTGTGGCGACATGTCGACCTGGCCGTCTACAAGGTGAGTGGGGTAGGACGGGCGGGCCTGGGCCGCGGTGCGGTGGCCGGACCTCTAGGACCAGCCTTCCCACCCTGTCCCGGGCACATCCCGACCGTGTCCGCATACCTTCTCCCCTGCGGCTCAATATGTTTTTATTGATTTCTTTTTAGAAAGAGAGGAAGGGAGAGAGAGAGATAGAAACATCCATGTGAGAGAAGCATCCATCCGCTGCTTCCTGCACGCCCCCTACTGGGGATGGAGCATGTGCCCTGATGGGGAATCCAACCGGGACCTCTCGGTCCGTGGGACTCGCTCAATCCGCTGAGCCACACGGCCAGGCCATCCCTCTCTCTTTCCATCCACTAATCCATTTTACTTTTAAGTACATTGCAAAAACAAATTGCAGATAAAACAGACAAAAACAAAAACAAAATGTTGAAGTATTACTACAGATGACGCTAAGAGCCTTTGACAGTTGTTTCCTGCTGTCTTTAATCCGTCCCCAGAGTAACCACCATTCTATCCCATCTGTTATGCATTTACACACTTGTGACTATGTAGGGAAGGAAAATACAGTGGTTACAAGAGCAAGACTGGCTTTTGGAGTCAGGTTGTGTTCAATCTTAGCTCCCCCCCCCCCCAATGGTTGTGTCACCCAAGTCACCCTGGTTTTTCCCAAAAAGGCAGCAAATGCTCCCATTTTCTTTGGAATCTTTTTGAGGAAACAGGTGGTAGTGGTTTTCCACATTTTAAATTTTAATAGAAACGACCAGATTGTGTTTCAAAGTAGCCAGATCAATTCCTACCAGCAGGGCTTGAAAGCTGCTGCTTCATATCGTGGCCAATATTTGATATTCTGAAACGTAAAAGCTTTGTCCTTCAAACTTGCAGGTTTAAATTTGACCAGGAAGATGTGATTCCTCTGTCAAAAATAGTCAACAAAATTTATGCTATGCAATTTCTTTCTTTTCCTTTTAATTTTTATTGCGGCTTACCAAGTGCCACACATTCTAGGCACCTGGAGTAAACAAAGACAGAAATCCCTGTCTTTGTGGAGCTTACACCCTACGGCAGCTTGTGAAATGACATGTGGGAAGAATTAATTCCCACTCACTAGAGATAAATAAGAGATAAAAATAAGCCTGGCATAAGAAAGAGTTTGCCTATAAAGTAGACATGCCAATGGGAGGGGAGCCAAGGAGTAGACAATTCTAGCTAAAACAGGGTAAAGTGGATTAGAGTGGGGAATGGATTGGTTGGGAATGTAGAGTGGGAGGGATGGGGTGAAAAGACAGAGCAAAAGAAAAAAAAAAGAGAGAAAACAAATATGTAAAGTATGTTAAAAGATAAGTGCTTAGACAAAAGAAAATAGAGCAGGTGAGGGGCTTGGGTGTGTCATTTTAAAGACCAAATATTCAAGAAAACAGATTAAACCATTTTAAACTCTTACCCACTAACCGACCTTTGCTGCATACACACCCATAAGCACATACACAAAACCTACTCTAAACCAACCGAGACAAAAAACAAAGAGAAAAATCAGTACATGTAAAAATGTATATGGAAAAGAATTCCAAACCACAGTCAACTAAAGGTGGAATATAAGGCTTTTTTGCTTTTGGAATCTATACCTTTTCTTTCTGTTTATTTTTTAGGTAAAATGTACATATAGTGAAATGCACAGTGCTATCAGTTGTTTGTTTTCTACTAAGCCTAACTTTCTAGGGTTAATTTTTGACAGCTTTCACTATTTACCAGGCTGTGATTTTTTTTTAAACCTAGATCTAATATACCCTGGGCAGTTCTAGCCTTTTTCAGCTTTATTTTACATTGCTTATTTTTTTTGGTGGTCATTCAAAAAGGGATAAAAATCCTGGTGGGTTGCTTTGCTTTCTTCTTAGTCCAGAACATACTAAGAATCCACTCTGTTGCTAAAGACAGATCTGTTATGGTCTTTTCTTTCCTTCATTGCTTTGTTAAAATCTAGAAGTCAAAGTGGTGGGGTTAAATTGTTTTGTTACCCCTGGAGAGGTGTCTGGTCGGGTGAGGCTGGTGGAGGAAGGACAATTCCAGGACAGCAGCTGAACCTCAGCCAGGGCTTGTCTGACTCCAGGCAGGTGGGGACCTTGAAAGATCCCCCGTGTCTCTCACCTAGTTATCCCTATCTTTGGCTCTTAACAGATGCGGCCTAAAATCATGTGGCACCTCCTTCGCCGGTACATGGCATCCAGACTCCAGTCCCTGCGGCTGGGTGGCTACCTGTCTTCAGGCTCCCAGGCTCCCCAATTGTCCCCAGCACTGATGAGGGCCCTGGGTCAGAAGTGCCCCAACCTCAAGTGTCTCTGCCTACATGGTGCTGACCTGAGCATGGTACCAATCGCCAGCCTGCCTTGTACCCTGAGGACCCTGGAGCTGCACAGCTGTGAGATACCCATGACCTGGCTCCTTAAGGGACAGGACCCCACCGTGCTGCCCCTGCTTGAGTGCATCGTGCTAGACCGCGTCCCTGCCTTTCGGGACGAACACCTGCAGGGCCTGACGTGCTTCCGTGCCCTGCGCTCACTGGTGCTGGGTGGCACCTACCGGGTGACTGAGACCGGGCTGGATGCAAGCCTGCAGGAGCTGAGCTACCTGCAGAGGCTGGAGGTGCTAGGTTGCGCCCTGTCCACCGACAGCACCCTCCTGTCCATCAGCCGCCACCTCAGAGATGTGCAGAAGATCCGGCTGACTGTCACTGGCCTCTCTGTCTCTGGCCTGTCTGTCCTGGAGGGAATGCCAGCCCTGGAGAGTCTGTGCCTACAGGTCCCACACATGACCCCGGAAATGCCTTCTCCAGCTGAAATAATCTCCTCCTGCCTCACCATGCCCAAGCTTAGGGTCCTTGAGCTGCAGGGGCTGGAGTGGGATGGTCAGGAGGTGGAGAGGATCCTGTGTCAGGGCCTGCCCCACTGTCTGGTCATCATCAGGGCCTGCCCCAATGAGTCTATAGACTGGTGGCTATGACCACCTGTCCTTAAGACCCATCTCAGTGTTCATTAATGAGCCCCATCTCAGTGTTCATTAATCAGCAGTATCTTGCAGATGACAGGTAATTAGGCTAGAGGGGCCCAAAGGCCAAAGGTAGAGGGAAATGAGGCCTTGGCACCACCAGACAATTGGAATTGTTCACCAGTTGTGTGGTCTCTGTGACATTGCCACTCTGACCCCCACATCCGGAAATGCAGAAGACCATAGCTACCTCATGGTTATGTTGCAAAGCCTTACACTTTACAGGGCCCGAGAAGGTCCTCAGTGAAAGGTCCTTCTCAGGGTGGTCCTTAGGAACAGGATGGATGCAGAAGGGTGTGGTTAGGAGTTAAAGGGACCTGAGGAACCAGGGCCCCTTAGGAAGCCTGGAAGGACTGTCTACATGTGCACCCACACACCTACACACCACTGATTATACCTGAATTTGGGGGGAGACACAGAGAAAGTGCAGGTGTGATTAAAATGTTAATGAAGGTTCTAACTGTATTTTTTTATTTCGTATTTTCCAAGTTTTCCACAATATATATTTTTCTATCAAAGAAAAATACTCAGTTTTTCCCTAAAACATTCATTTTATTCATTAAATAAACATTTCTAAGTCCCTGCAGTTTTGCAGGGGCACTGTCCTAGATGCTGGGTCACAGCAGTGAACCAAACGGACAAGATCTGAGAAGAAGACAGGGTAATAAAGAAGTGAGCACTTTTACGCAACAGTTTCAGAAACTGAGACAATAAACCAGGTGGCGTGATGGAGGCACGTGTTTTGTAGAGTAGGCCTCTGAGTGAAGACCTGAGAGGTGATGAACCAACCCCGGGAAGCACTGGGGAAGATGTTAAAGGCAAAAATGCGGAGCCGGGACTGAACTTGGCATTTTCCAGGAACCAGACAAAGGTCCCTGTGGTTGAGGGAACAAGGGGTGAGCAATAGAAAGAGGTCAGAGATGATGGGCTGAGGTTGGATGGGTCCTAACAGGTGGCTCAGGTTTTAGGGGCTCCTCTTCCTGCCTTTTGAGTCTGAACCACTTGAAAGATGCAGGTGGTAGACTGATAATGATCATAGGCACCAACCTGTAAGATGAGCGTTACTTCTGATCTGAGCTGGGTAGGGCTCTGTGGCTCATCAACTGCTCCATCAGCCAGTGAGCCTGCCCTGTGGTGGGCAGAGCCAGGAAAGAAAAAAGGGGGCTGATTTCTTATTCCAAGTGCACCCATCAGAGAAGACCTGGATGTTTCTCCCACTGGAGGGTGGAGTGGAAATTTCTTCCCTGTCTGGCCGCATGAGGACTGGGGTGTGACTTCTCCCTAGTGTGGCCATGGTTAGGGTCTACTGGTCCCATGCTGTGACCAACCTGGCAGTTCTAGCTTGGCACCTGGGGACTGGGTTGATCTAGGCTGGGGCATGGGGAGCTGGAGAAGTGTCAGGGCAATGAGGTCTGTCTAGAGATCTGGGATCCACTGTGGGGAGTATGATGGAAGGTCAATGCCAGTCCTGAGCTGGGCCCTGCTGGTCCTGGAGGTGGGCTGCAGATGCCCCACTTGGAGCAGCTTCCTTCCTTTCACTCTGCCTTTCCACTAGGCATGGAGAAGCAGATGTGAAGCTAGAGGCAGTAGTACACATATAAACATTTAACAAACAGTGTTAGCAGGTGGTTGGGGGGCGGGGAGTCCTGATTTATAGCATTTGTAGAGTGTGAAGACTTCAGTGGTGTAAATACTGTCAGCACAGCTGGTTTCAGGCTACTGGTAGTTTGACAACTGATTCACAAGATTTCTGAAAGTCTAGTAATTGGTTCTTCTGAGCTGCTGTGAGCACAGAATTGGTTAGAAGTGTTTTTCTTCTGGAGAACTCCCTCTGCCTTAGTGTCCCCTTTCCTGGCTTAGCTTTGATGGGTGGTGGGGTTATGGGACTTCGGACAGAGCTCCTTCTCTCTTGGGATTCCCCCACCCCATCCACTGCCTATTCCCAGATAAGGGGCTGCCGGCTTAAAAATCAATCAATCAATCAATCAATCAATCAATCTGGAATTTGGAATTTGTTTCAGTCACAGTAAGGTGACAGGCAGACAACTGTCTTTGAAAAAGAATTTATTACATACAATTTCCTAGAGAAGGAGGCACACCAAGGCACTTAGGGCAACATGGGGGGAGCCCCAGAATTGGTCAGAAAGAGGGAGGGGAAAGCATGGGAAAGCCTTTATTATGATTTTTACAGGAAGGAATGGGTGAGGCAGGGTAGGCAAGCTGAGCAAGTTTAGAATTGGTTAGTTTGAATAATTTCAGTGAGCCCTAGGGGTGGTCCCTAGTTGTCTATTACCTGGTCCTGGGTGATTTAGGGCATAGGGTAGGTTGGTTTAGCGGGAGAGTTAGATAAAGGAGGTGGTTAAAGTGGTTGGTTTGCATTTAAAAGCTGTGCTCCAAGGCCAGTTGTTTGCTTTCTCTAGGAATTACCTAACACTTGGAAGAGTGGTCCTTCCCTAGGTTTGCAAGGCCCTGAGATGTCAAAGCATCATAAAATATAGGAAGAAGAAGAAAAAAAGAGTAATACTCCTTCCCGTAAAGGTTAAGGACAATCACAATAGCTGACATCTATTGCGTGTTTACTTTGTATCAGGTCAGTCTGTCATGCATGGACTCCTACCAGAAACCCCATGAGGAAGGTACAGAGGAAGAAACTGAAACAGAAAAGTTACCCAAAAAGACATAGCTGTTAAAATAGCAGAGCTTGAATAATCTTATTCTACAATCTTAACCATATGTGAAGTTGCCTTGTTGACATGCAACTATCTGAAAGGATGCTTTCGTAACTGTGCCCCATTGGGAACTAAAAACTAGACATATAAGAAATTTTTACAGTTTTATTGAGGTATAATTAACATATAATAAACTACATAAATAATTTGATTATTTTTGACATATGTATACACTCGTGAAACCATCACCACAATCAAGATGACAAATATATCCATCACTCCCCAAAATTTCCTTGTGGCACCTCGTAACCCTCCCTCCCTCTACCCCTGTCCCCAGACAACCATTAATCTGCTTTAAAATTTTTTGTTTTTAAGTTGATTTTAGAGAAAGGAAGGGAGAGAGAGAAAGAAATATTGATTTGTTGTTGTTCCACTTATTTATGCATTCATTGGTTGACTCTTGTATCTGCCTTGACCAGGGATTGAACCCACAACCTTGGTGTATTGGGACAATGTTCTAACCAACTGAGCTATCCAGCCAGATCTCACTAATCTGCTTTCTGTCACTATAGATTATGTTGCTTTCCCTAACATTGTATATGAGTGGATCACAGAGTGTACTTTTTGTGCATCGGGGAATCAGTCTGGTTTCTTTCACTTGACATAATGATTTTGAGACTTATCCAGGTTGCAGTAGAAATAAATAGTTTGTTCTGAGTAGTACACTATCCTCCACCCCCACCCCCACCAACCCCATATGCAGTTTCAGTTACCTGTGGTCAACCATGGTCTGAAAATATTCCATTTCTCCAACCATTGACATAACCTGCTCCTGACATCCAGCCATCAACATCATCATGGCTCAGTGATCCACGATCACCTGAACCAGATGATCCTTCTGACGTATGCTCAGGCCAGTAGTAGCCTAACATTATGTCACAAAGCAAATGTCATTTACCTTGCTTCATCTCATTATGTAGGCCTTTTATCATCTCACATCATCACAGAAAAGGGTGAATTTGGTAAGATAGTTTGAGAGAGAGAAATACCACATTCACATAAGTTATTGCTGTATATTGTTATAATTATTCTATTTTATTATGTTAATTGTTGTTAATCTCTTACTGTGCCTAAGTTATAAATTAAATTTTATTATGGCATGTATACATAGGAAAAATCATAGTGTATCTAAGGTTCAGTATTATTTGCAGTTTCAGGCACCTACTGGGGGTCTTGAAACGTATCCCCTGTGGATTGAGGGAATCACTATATTTCACTGTATGGCTATAGCACGTGTTATCCATCCATTCAGTGATGATGAATATTTGTGTTTAAATATACACTTTTTTGTTAAGAACAATTTTCCTAATGTGGAAAATAATACACGCTTGTAAAGAATTTTAACATTACAGAAAGTGAACCCCTTTTTTTATCCTCACCCAAGGACATTTTTCCAGTTTTTGTTCAGATAGAGTGGGAGGGGGGGAGGGGGAGAGAGAGAGAGAGAGAGAGAGAGAGAGAGAGAGAGAGAGAGAGAGAGAGGAAACATTGACGTGAAAGGGACACATTGAGTGGCTGCAACCCGAACCCGAGTCTCTGTGGACCGCAGGACAACACTCTAACTGCTGAGCCGAATGGGCCAGGGCAAGTGAACCTCTTTTTAATCCCAGGCTCCAGAGGGAATCATTGTGGAAAGCTTGGCATATAATCTTCTAGCACTTTGTCTACTATTGGGACTTTGGAGAACATCAATGACATATCTTAATTTCCCTCCTGAGTTTAAGACCAGTTGCAGCAATCAGAGATGATTTAATCAGCTTCATGACTGATAAAAGCAGGATTGGAGCATGTGTCTTCACTATGAGGTCCCAGTGGGCTTACTGATGATTTCACCCCTAAGTTTGCCAAGCCTACTGGGGCATGGCACAGCTGGTCAACCACAAGGCTCCTCCCTATGATTACGGCCTGGCCTCAGCCTGATCAAAATGCCCTCTCTCTGGGCTCCAACAGACTCCCAAAGGGAGACAAAAATGGTGTGAACCAAAGAAGTCAGTTCCTTTTTCCAAACCCACTAGTCAGAGAAAGTATGTGGCTGTATATGTGCAGAGCGATCAGGACTGTCACTTCAGCTGAACTTCCCCCTACTTGGACTCAGGAAGCCAGAGAAATGGACTTTCTTCCCTAACTCAGACTAAAGTAGATTGCATACCTGTTTTGTGTGGGTTTCAGCCTACTGACAGAGATGCTACTGGCTAGGACTGCCTAGGGCACTTACCCGGGCCCCCTCCAACTTTTGGTGAGACAACCTCCCCGCCCCAGACATTTTCCCCACCAAAGCCAATGTTGTGCCTCCACCTGCTCTTGTGGTTCCTATTATGACTGCAAGACACACCTCAGCAACAACCATCAGTGAACTTTGAAAAGGCAAGGTTTATTACTCACAGGTCCTGGAGGGTACACAGCATGCCAAAGGCCATACAGTGAGGTCACAGGTAGAGAGAGAGGGAAAGAGAGTGCAGACCTGGGGCTCTTCCTTTATTGAGGTCAAGGGTGGGGCCTAGGGTTTCCAGGGTTCACTCTTCATTGGTGAATTTAAAACACAGGAATAGGAATTAAGTCGCGAGGAGGGAAAAGCAGGGTCACTCAAGTGGTCAGTTATCTAGGTTACCCAGGGCTTTCTAAAAGGGAAACCATGGGTGGGGCAGGTTGTTTAGCTAGTAACTGATTCATGCAGTGGCAATGTGTTCATTCGAGATGGATGCCTTTGAAATGGATGCCTAAGCAATAAAAAATGTTAGGCACCACACTGCA